TGCTGAACATTTTTTTTTGAGCGTGAATGTAGTAATAGATGTGTATAAGAGACAGTCCATAACCAGTCTGCGTGTCGGCCGTGGTGGCTGTGGTATAGAATTCGCGGTAATAAGGCTCTGTAATGAAGGTCGATGTCGGTCCGCCCGAGGTGAGGCGTGTGGTGGTGTACATGCCATAACCGTCGGGTGTGATGTAAGGGCCGGGGCTGGGCGTCTGTGCGTTGACATTCACATTATTCGGAACGCCAGCGGAACCGGGTGCATTGGACTGATGAGCGCCCTGTTTGGCAATCCATACATTTTGGTCGGAATGTAGTTTGAGTTGGCAGCAGTTACATGTCGATGCGGGAGAAGGAGAGAATAATGAAATATATATTTATTATTTAGTWTCACCAATTGGTAAATATGTATTTATAAAATATTATGTCAGTCACAGTCAGTGTGTCGTCGTGTGTGTATATTTAGAATGATATTTGTTATGGTTGTATACTATATATTATGTGGAATCAATGGGCTCGATAATCTGCTTAGCAGTCTGCAATTTACGTTCACACATTTCGTTTTGCGGCTTTTAGCAAACGTAGGTGTGGCATTGGTAGCGCTAGCGCCGAAATCACCGAATTCCGGTTGCGCGTTGACGTGCTAATTGCTACAAGTTGACAAAGTAACAAAAAACGAATGCTTAAACAAATGGTGGAGGGTCGCTACAGCTACTTTGCCAGACCATTAGCCATACTTGCTGCTTTTGGTCTTTTCACTTTGCACTTCTTCGCTTCTTTCGGCGCTCGCCGGCAGTTCTTCGAATCTTCTGATACTGTGCTCTGTGTGTGTGTCATACTCTCCTTGGCGCTATTGCAGCAGCTGGCCGTTCATTTGTCATCTGTGCCAAAAGTTGCCCTGACCAGATTCGTTGAAAAGTGAAATTATCCGCTAATAATTTGGTAATTTGTCAAATCACGGAAGGTCACTTGCGACCCAGACACCGGCAGTGGTGTTGGAGTGCCGTCGGTGGAAGACAAGACGCGCGTGCTCTGTCTCTTTTTTGYTTATGATTTCCTTTTGTTCTTTTATTGATTGCTTTTCACTAATTTGCATAATAAGTTTTTTTAAGTTTTGCTTAAAGCGTTTTGCGTCAAGTGTAAATGTGAAGAACTYTTTTTTGCATTTTTATAAGTCCTTAACTACTTTATGATTAAATTTCGTGTCTAATTTTGTAAACTATCTCGTCTTCTTCAGTCTTTCCGTTCTTTTCATAATATTTGCAATAATTTGCATTGGATTTATGCTCGCTCACACTCACCTGCAAGTAGATTTGTGTGCCGCCACTGGCAGCGTACATTGTGTCAGTTGTTGGACTTCCAGGACTAATAGGCGGATCTTTAATTTGTATGGTCGTTTGTGTTGGWGATGTCGGTGACTGCAGAACTAAAACCTGTGAAATTGAATTTGCTTGTTTGAGTGCATTCACTGAAGAAGAGGAAGAAATGATGTTKCTTGGTGGATTGGAGGTATTTTGGAGGGACAGTAGGCGAAATAAAAGTTTGGAGTAAATTGAGGCAAATAAACAAATGAAAATATGCAAGCGTTGTATAGGTATTTTCGATTAGAAGCATAGCATAAATATACATAGAGTGGATATATAGCGACGTCGATGCACACACGCACTCTCATATAGGAAAAATTGAGGTAGGACTTATATACTAAAAGTCAAACGAAATTATGGAATGCAAAAATTATTTTAATATAACTAAAAATACGAAACGTGCAAAAATAAAGGATTAAAATGCGCAATAAAATATTTACATTAATGAAAGCTTTCAGAGCAATAAAAGCTCTGCTGAAGCTTTCATTTCAGAATAACAGAAGCTTTGCTGACGCTTTCATTGATGTTAAACTTATTTTGAACCTGAATTTAGAATTGAATTGAATTTTTTAGACGCTTTCATAACTATATATCTTGTTTTATTTTGCGCATTCATGTCATGAAGCTAATATAATTCTTGAAAATTTGTTTGATTAAAAGCTTAATTTTTTCTGGCTGGCGAGAGCTTTTTAAAAGTTTTCATTGCTGAACATTTTTTTTTGAGCGTGAATGTAGTAATGAAAGTTCTTTAATTGTTGAAACAATTATTTACTACCAATTTTTGTTTTCATAGCTCTTAAACGCTTTTTGAGCATGAACTTCATGATACTGTTTTAATTTTTGAAAAAAAAAAAGATTCTGCAAACTTGAGGCTTCACAGCAAAAGCTTAGTTGAAGCTTTCATAGCAGTAGAATTTTTTCTAAAATGATTTTCAGGCTTTTCGGAAGTTTTCATAGTTTTCAAATGTTTTTTTTTGAGCACGAATTTTAAGTAACTTATTTAATTAAAAAACAAAAATACTACAAAATCACCTACTTTTTGCAAAAAATTTGAGAGCTTTGAATTTTTTTGAAAAGTAAATACAAGCTCGTGAAATGAGTAAAGAAAGCGRCGATTAAGGAAAGCTTTCTTTATTACATTGATATTACAAGCTTATTAGTGAGCAAGCTCAACAAATAGAGCCCAATCATAAAAATACATATTTCAAAAAACTTTTTTCTTTCAACTATATATACATATAGCGAGTCGCTAAATTTTTGTGACCTAGTGCTTAATTAATTCACGAAGGGCCTTATTTGCATAAAAATGCAATATATAACTGTTAATTACAACTTCGCTAACACATATAATACGCCTTCATTAACAAATTGCAAGCGATTTGCATTTGAATGCTCTTTGCGCAAGTAACTTATTGCAATTAACCGATTAAGAAAAAAAAAACACAGCTTGTTGATTATTAATGGATTTTCATGCAAGGCATTTAGTCTGTATTGACGCTGACAGCAATAAAACCTAATCCGAAAAATATATGCGAGCCAACGGTGATGAACGAAAATTATTATATCTATGTTGGCTATAATTTTAAAAGCCAAACTAAACATTTTTTCCAACCAAAGCCATGCGGAGTTATGCAATTCTTGTGAAAAAGCTATAAAAAGTCCGCCTCCTTGCTTGAACTGTCCGATTCATATTAATTAAGTGCCTATTTGAAAGTTTGAGTTTTTTTTTACATTGTGACAATTAAATATGGTTGTTGTTGCTGCTTTGCATATTTCTACGTGCGTCCACGCAACACAGCCTATCCAATCAAAACTGTCGCGCAATTAAATAAAATTGGTTTTCAATTTTTGTTGCTGTCATAAACAAGGCAAGAAATACAAATAAAATAATTTCGTATATTAATTTGCTATGATGGATGATCAATCAGTTCCACATGCATGCTCAGGTCTGCGTCTGTGTGTGTGTGTTTCGTGTGTGCTATTATCGGCGCTGCTGACACTCGTAGCTGATTTGCTTAGTTGATTAACCTAGCTACACCGCCATACTTAGGTAATGCTATTGATGCTGCTGTTGTTGTTGATTACACTTTACGTGCAGCTACTGCCGCTGACCGCTGATTGCGTGCCGCGCTGAGAACGCAACAGCAATGCGGAAGGCCAGCAGCCAACGGTCAATAGCCAAGAGTCAACCGTCAGCCGTCTGTCCGCGTGCGAGTCAAACGCCGTTACTGGTTAGCCGCAATTACGTAGTGGCAATGATTAATTGTGCTGGACCAGCGTTTCATTGTCATGAAAATCCATAGCAGGCCCTCTAACCAGCGCGCTGCTCTCATCCACCCTCCCATCCCGCTCTCATTCGCGGTTTCGCTTCTTTTTGAGCGTTTGACTTGAAGTAGCGGACGGACGGCTGGCTTATGGCGCTACTGTTTGTCTACTTATCTATTTACTTTTCTCTATTTTTTACTGCCATGCAATTGTTGTTGTTGACATTATGTGAGCATGTAGTTGAAAGAGCTTTTTTTAAAGTTTTTTTTCGTGATTTTAGTGAATTTTTTTCATTGGGGTCATTGGGGGGAATTTCGGCAATTGTTGCTACGATTGATTAACATTAAATGCGACAACAAATCTTGGCTAGTTATTAAAACGATTATTGCAGAAGGCAGAAAATTGCAAAAAAAAAAAAATTTCAAATAAATATGGTAAAAGTAAAAAACGCGGCCTGTGGTATTAAAAGCTATTCGAAATATAATTGAAAGAAAATATTATAAAAATATACATATACATATTATAATAAACCTGTCTCTTATACACATCTAGATGTGTATAAGAGACAGACTGTGCTCTGTGTGTGTGTCATACTCTCCTTGG